CAACACATGAATTGAGATTATACATACTCATGGTGCAGATCTCAGTGTTACGAGTATGTCTTTTCTTTATTTTAAGCTGCATGAGTAAATCCTTATGCGATATACTCTGTAATACAAGTCCTGCCATTTCCCCTTTTGGATTGATATGACTGTCTGAACTTTAAATATTTTGAATACAATCGAGAGAAAATTCCGTGCTAAATTGAAATGGAAATCTCTTGTACTGAAACTACATATGCATATGTATTATGTATAATAAAAGGACGTAATACAATCATGAAGAAAGTTTTCTAAATCAGTCTATCAAAATATTTAAAATTATGGGAAAATATTTGAATAAAAAGGTTCCTATTTATGAACACATTTATATAGACCCTGCATTTATTTTATGATCAGAAATTCTGCTAAAGAAATTTTAAATTATTCAAAACTCTTCAGTGGTGGCAAGTGCATAACACAAAGTTGAGCTTCAGCTTACAAACATGCATGTTTAATGGCACTCCTCAACAAAGTGATCTCAAAAGTAATTTATTGTTAATTCCAGTTTAAAATCCTTTAGGAAAGCCAGAATTGCTCTAGAGATTCTTGATACAAATTTTTAATACGCTTGAACGAATTTGTTTTTGAATATCAAGCATAAAGATTGAGATTTCCGGGATTGGGGATTTCATTCATGCTTTGCTGACTTATCGAAAGAGATTGCTTGAGAGATGTGAATATATTAATGCAATATGGCTGACATTTAGTCGTGTTATATCTACCTTTTCTTCTCACGCAATCGCATCCCTCTTTCCTGTCAAGTGAAATAATTAATGCCAGATGTATGCTAACTGATAGCAGTGAAATGGGATTAAGCCCTGAGCGTAAATCCTGCACCTACACCATGGCTCTACCATTAGATTCCGTAGTCTTTTCATTAAAATTTTGCCAAAATGCTCGCTTCTGAGCGTGCCCTTGGTGGCGGTAACTCAATCAAAATTTGGCAAAATCTTGAATGAGGGAGGATTTAAAAAAATTAGTATTCTCATCTCGTATCTACAGGCAAGGTTAGCGGAGCTCCTGAATGTGATAGACTGTGCGGAGGCCATCATATCTGTTGTGAGGGTATGGCTTGAGGGTGAGATGAGGAAAACCGAGTGGCAAAATAGGATTTTCTGTGCAAGTTGGGTCGAGGAAGATTCTCGTTCCATGTGTCCTTATCCATCAATCACATTGGATGGTGGCAGCATCCCAGATTCCCGCTGACATCTGAACTCCCTGTGAGTGCCTATCGAGATAACAATAAAAAATCAACACAACGATACAGTCGGCAATATTAAAGGAGGTGGGGGCGATAGGAGCTTCGGGAGATTGAAGCTCATCAGTGGTGCTTCAATTCCTCACACCCATTGTCTACCCAGGGTCTTGATTTTGAATGCTGGGAACGTGGAAAATGCTGCCGACAACCGACGGACGTTAATGGGAGTGAAATTCTCTTGGCCACTTCCTCAAATATACTTGCGTGATTGTCTTATAAAACTCTATGGGGTGTGCTATACAATCAACAGAGGAAAAATCCCATGAATAGTAAATGGCAATATTGTATTCGATGTTTTTCTTTAGACTCCAAAATGAATGCCAATTTGGATGAAATTTTTATAACACCCCTAACCCTGGGTCCACAAATTTTCCCATCTTGAATTTTCAGGCAGAGGGATTGAAAATGGCTATGCTCGGCAGTGAGTTGATGATTATACAGTGTTATGCAAACTCACTTTTCAGTTTAATTTGTTGACGTATTAAAGTTACGCTAAAAGTAACCAATTTTAAAGTGTACGCTACTGCGTGCTCAATAATGAAAATTATGGAATATTATTTTGGAATTTTTTTTATTATATAAACCAACATTGCAAATAACATTGAGACTTCAAGAGTATATTAAAAACGCATAATTTTAATTAAACACATTTGTTTTAATTATTGTATTACCATGCTTTGGAATAAAAATTAATTTTTGTATGAACAAAGTACAACAAAATTGCCTCTTACCAAAATAAAACCCCAAAACTTTTCTAGATATAAAAATTCAGTACAATAACAACAAATACATGATAAAAATATAAATACATAAAATATTAAACTAACTAAATAACAGACATTTCAATGTGATTCGCGTGTAATATGCAATGTGTTCTAATTATATCTTGTTGGTTTTACCGTAAATGAGATGCTAACAATGCCAAAAATAATTTTTAGTCCTTAATTGAAATCAATGAATTTTTCCAATTTTATTAATTCTACATACTAAATATCATGGTTCTTACAATTTTTTTGTAGTTGTTTAATTTTTAAATATAGTTTCTCTTATAACCCGTATTATTAGAAAAAAAATCTGGCGAGTTCTTGGGGTTAAGTCTTGGGTTAAGTAGACTATTGGTATAAATATTTAAATATTGAATCTCTATTCACTATTTAATATTTTATATTCACCATTGATTTTTTCCCTCCAAAGAAGATTAATGTCTTGATCTAGAGGCATCAGCGAACGAAATAATGTGTCTTCATGAGACAACCCAAGGCATGATAAATACCAAGAAAATTCATCTTGACAGTGAAGAAAGGATTGTGTAGAAATCTGGTGAAAATATGGAAATTATATTGTCACGTTCTAGACTGAGAGACGGTGTAGCCCATAAATTTCTGATAAATGATATCAAATTGCCACGCTAATTTGAATGTGAATCGATAATTGACTACGCCTTGTGTGTATGTGTTTGCGAACGGAAGTTCGAGTGGATGGAACTGGGAGATGCTAATTGAAGATAACCGTCTTGAAGCTGTGATTAATCTTCTTCTGTGGGTGGCTCGATGGGTGTGAGGGTGACCCCAAGTTTTGGGGCACAATTACGAGAAATTACCGAGTATGAGTAGGAATTTCTCGCCTTCGGTTTCATTATGGTTTCTCCCTGGACTATCATCTCTGGAAATCATCATCAATCAGTCAAGAAGCTTCAGTATGATACGATGAGAGGAGAAAGGTTTGAGTGACCTCATGAGAGTAGATGAATACTAATTAAAATCATTGGAATTGCAAAACTTTTCAATTAGTCAATTAGCTCAAGACTCCTACGCCAGAGGATGCGGCAAAAACACATAAATTTCCCAGTCCACTTTTGTAACTGGTGCGATGAAAATTATTATTGGACTCTATGACCGAATGCTGGGACCATTATAAAATCCTCCTGGCATTCAAACCAAGTCAAAACTGAACGACCAAGATGATTTATTCATGGAACTCCGTACATACGGTTTGATTGCAGTTTCCAAGGACTTTACATAGTCCTCAGATTAATTTGCACCATCACTTCTTCTACAAATACAATCAACAGACAAAAATAAGGCGATGAAGTTTGATTGAATGCTTGATCACTTTAGAGTAGAATTCCGATAACCTTCTACCTTTTCAATAGCTGTTAAAAAGTTGATGAATTAAAAACTGATGAAATTAAAAGGAGTGAAACACTTTGTTTCGTTTAATAGTCACATTTATGAAGTGATTTTGAAACAGAAATGTATTCACTTTTTAACATACAGAATTGTCTAATACTTATAAAATACCTTTTTAAATCATTCTCTAGAAAGATTAGCAATTCACCCCGTTCCATGAAATTGAATACCAGAAAATTGATCACGTATATAACTTAGAATTTTGAATGTATTCACAAAATTATATAAAAAAGGTTTTCGTACTCTCCATTTTAGAATCAGAAGTTTTGCCTGAAGTCCAAGTCTCTCTATCGCTGTTGTTACCAAGTCAAATTTCAGCGGTAAAGTGTTAGATACAGGCAGGCAGAATTTGTATTAAATATGGATTTTGATAGAAGTTATTGTATGGAGAAGACTTTGTTTGTTCTAATAAATAAAACTATGCGGAGGGGATGTTTAAAGTCACTGATTAAAGCGAGTGGTTAAAGCCATAATAAATTTCCGCTCAATTCTTAATTGTATATGGTATTCTGCCCTAATATCCAAAGCATGTACTTGTGCGTGGCGAAAGGAGATTGTATTTTACGAAACATTAATCGTTTATTGTGTGTCAGACTGACGCTATAATGATCAGAATAATGGTCGTTAAATTTCGGGGACAATCAGATTAGCTGTTGGGATGTTGCTGAAGAGTGTTGTGGTGTGACAACTCAGGAAACACTTTGCCATTCCCAGATATTTTATTGCCTTCCCGTATACATAAAAACATTTCGCACAAATATACAAAATGACACCATAAATGTACAATTTTTCCCAGGATATCAACCACCCCTTCCGCCTACTCAATTGTCCAAATGTGAGTGGAAGAGAGCTCAATTTCTTGTCGCGTGACCAGCAAAAGTGAACACAGAATAGCCGCATTCCTCTTACTACTTATATACTTGCACATCTAAATTGATTTTAATTTCCTCTTGCGTGGAATGACTGGGGTTTTCCATCAACGAAATAACTGTTGATTGTTGAAAGTGACTGGAAAGAGGCAGAAAAACGACAGTAACGTTTTATAGGAGGAAACGGAAAAATCCACCCTCTGCACAATTGAATGAAAGAGGGTGATTTTATCCAATTAAGATATCAAATATTATTAAGCAGATCAGTTCTGTTTGCTCTTGGCTTTTGTCTGCAGCTAGACTATGAATACAAAAAAAGAAAATATATTTTGATAGGATTCTTTTCCAATATTTTATCAAAAATAATATCAATTATAAACTTGCAATTTCTCTATTTGATTGGTTTTTAAATTAACAAATTGCCATTCTGTAGATTGAAAAATATTACAATAATTCAAATCTCCAGGGGAAACTACATTTCGTCAAAAGATATACATTTGAAATTTATCTTTTCTTGAAATTGTCTCAGATAGTATTGCGATTAATATATGGTCGCTAAATTCGCATACGACATCAAGAATTGTCCCTCATTTATCACCGATCCCTGCAATTTTTCGCCAAATTCACATTCATTTTTCTTTGCAGGTGATAACGTCACGGATTTAGCATCATCACATCCCATGGACGGTGGCTGGCTGGAGTTGGAATCAGGGGTGACCGACAGGGCATCGTGGGATGACTTGACGCCTGTCGCCTCAGAGTTGGCCCAGACTGCGTCTGCAGAAGTATCCTCCAGCGATTTATCACCGTCTCAAGGCGAGAACGGCAAATCGATGGGAAGCTTCTCCACCACATCCCAGATCACCACATCAACCACCCACTCAACACCCACCACCACGCGGTCCAGCCCTACTACAACGGCTACCACAATTCGACCATGTAAGCCTCCCATGCCACTCAACTGCCAAGCTTTTGCCTCGGAATTACATTTTAATTAGGGAAGCGAAGGATAATTAATGTCTCACCCCTTGCATTTTGTAATCAAACAAGCACTTACACTTTGTAAAAATATCCAGTGAAATTTTAAATATTGCACGTAATTGCACGGCAGCTGTTAAATTAAGATTAGACTTGAAAATTGGGTCGATGTTAGTACTTATCTAAATTCATTATTAACTAGTGGGTGCTGGAATTTCTGGTAAACTAAGTTTAAGTGCATTTACATATAAACGTGTTTAAGCTCTACTTAGGACAATGGGCATTGTTCAGAAATAATTTAAGCAGACATTTTATATATTTTCGGTTCGGTATCTACACAATCTTACGCAAAATTTTCAGTGCTTGTTCCAACATTTCGGCCAAGAGTCACCCACGTGCGCACATATCCGTCGAAACACCATCATGAGCATCATTGGGGTCCATTCTTCGAAGAGCCTCTTAATGCTACCTCCGGCGTTTTGCAGGTCGGAATCCACGTAGCTACAGAGGCTGTTCTTAACTGTCGCGTTGGCATGTTGAGAGACAAAACGGTGAGTTTATACAGAAAAGAATTTATCGCTACATGCATTACAGAGTGAAGTTAATTTAATAAAAACAAGCGTCGAACAATGCTTATAAAATATTCTTTTCGTTAATGTGTATATTTTTAATTTAAAAATTCTCAAACATTACGCTTAATACACATAATAATTATTGCAGAAATTCTTATGACTTCAATAATTTCACAGTTTATAACCGTTAGCGTATTTATTCGGTTATAACTTAAAAGTATATATAATTTATGTTTTCAATATTATTTCAGAAATTTTAACGACAAATGAAACAGAGTTTGTAAGATTTTAGTTGTATGAATGACGAGTATGTGTATAAAAATGCATTGTAAATCAATATCAACGTTGGCATGAGTTGAAACTGAGAGAAGAATCAGTTCTTGTGCTCTTTTTAATTAATACATTCATTAATATTTTAACTATTCATTATGCAAATGACTGTTTGTTTTATTCAAAGGTACATTCTCTCTTAATTAAATGCTATGGCTGGGAACTCGAGAACCTGCAAGCAAGAGGAATGTCAATTACGAAGAATAAACTAACAGTAAATTCAATTGAGTTGATTTAAGCAAAAAAGTGGATTGAATTGAGATGAAAAATTAAGTGAAGCGGAGTTTGTGCGTGTTCAGGAAACACATACGGGGAGCTTTCTTTGTTGAAGATTGAGTTCAAAGTAAATTGGCAGCGCCCTTCAGATTTCCTTCAGGATATACTGGAAAGAAAATTGTTTACTTTAATGAGCACAAAATGTTTCCTTCAATCTCATACTGCTTCCCATGCTACGACAAATCAAAGACAAGGTTTTTCATGGGTAATTTCTCATTTGATGGTGCTGGTATGTGAGGGGTAATTTTTTATTGATTTTTCAAATGGTATATGATTGGATTCAGAGTTGTACGACGGAGCATTTAAGTATTTATATTTATCATCATACAGATTATGGGAATACCTTGTTTACGTGATCCTCTATAGCAAATAATACATTTAAGTATGAGCATTGAGTATTAATAACGAATGAATAAAGCTCTTCTACTATAGCTTTGATGAGGACTATGGTTGAGTTTGAAGCATACATATAACTCGCTGTTATTTACAGGTGATGTGGGTGAGAAAGACCACAGAGAAGGTCTCACTGCTGACAGTGGGCAACGTGACGTACAGCGGGGACCCAAGAATAGCAGTGAAGTTTCAGTATCCTAACAATTGGCGACTCCACATAAATCCAATTCAGCGTGAAGACGCTGGCCTCTACATGTGTCAAGTTTCCACGCATCCACCACGAGTGTTTGCCACAAATGTCACGGTTCTTGGTAAGCACCACCGCAAAGTCCCTGGCGACATGCGATCCAAACTCAACTGATTCTATACTCTGCCCGGCGTTCTGTCTCATGCAGCTCCAGCCATTCGGGTCGTGGACGAGCACGGTCATGAAGTTCATGACCGCTACTACAAAATGGGGAGTGCCATCGATTTAACGTGCCAAGTGGCTGTGTCATTTCTGTCTGTGCTGCCAACTGTGATGCCTGTACCCAGTCCGCCACACTACTCGCACCAGCGTCAGTTCCCCTTCATCCCCAAGTTAGCGAACTTCAATGTCACACCACTCATCATGCCAAAGACATCACACACCCATCATACAATGTCCAACCATTCGGGTGCATCCACTACAGCTACATTCCCTCACATTCCGCAATTGTCAAATTTGCGGGGTCACGCATTCACTGGACATCGCGTAGACGACGCGCGCCAACTCGAGTTCTTCCATCAAAAGCTCACATGGCGGAAGGACGGAGGACCAATTCCCAAGGATGTTCAACTCAATTTGAGGTACAGCACCATCCAATATCGCCTTTCCCAGACGAACGCTCCTTGACTTCTGTTAGCTAATTGATTCCCCTCCATTAGCATAAGAGCGCCTTTCGCCTTCAGTTCTGAAATTCAAATTTTATGCTAAACACCCTTGGGGCTTTCGGGCCACTTTGTGTTCCACCCGTCACTCCATTTCATCCTAGTACTCGCGAAATCTTCTGAATAAACCCCTCCAAGCACTAAATCGAGTCACTTAAATAGGTTTTTCTCATATACTATATTATTACATAGTACTCTTGCCCATTGCAGTGCTATAGATGAGTGGCGGAACAGCAGATTATCGATCCCAGTGGCAGATCGGAGACACAGCGGCGAGTATTCTTGCTCAATTCTTAATTCATCTGCTGCAGTTGTTCACGTGCAAGTATTAAATGGTGAGTGTGAAATAAATTTTAAGAGGTTTGTCATTTAACTGTACCCAAAGACAAATGGTCTAAAAATCAAAAATGACACTATGCTTTATCCAAAGAGGAAGCGCGATTCTTAAATGTGAGATATTTTAAAAGTGTCATTTTAACATTTTTGTAATTGAAAAAAAAATTCTGTTGTAAATTCCAGATTAATTAAAAACTGAATTTATACTTTATTTAGTTTTTGAATTTCAGTATATTCAGTTGTAGAAAAAATTGTTTATTTTTCTATGGCATGATAAATAATAGTTTGTGTTTTATAAATAAAATTAAATTTGGAAGCTTTACATACGAAATAATTTGAAATTAGGCCCTTACAATTCAAAACTTTGCGAATAAAGGGTTAAACATTTGTCAATGTGAAAATTGCGATTTCAGTGAACCATGATTGTGTCACATGTTTACCCCTTGTTGAGTAATTAAAAAATAAATTTTATAAAAAAATCTTTGGTGAAATCTTATATAGTTTTTGCGATTTTGGAGTTTAAGAACACACAGTATCAATGAAGACACTTATGACAAACCTCTTGGATCTCCAAGTACATTTCCTTATCATTTCACTCAACTGCATGAATAATATTCCACTTGACAAATAGCTCTTCTTCCAGGCGAAATGCCAGCTGCTGTTCAACATAACTCGGCCACCATTAGAAGATCCATTCTCTCCACGTTACTTCTTTTCCTATTCTTTTCTCCTCTGGTTCACATATCTTGCTAATAATGAATTGATTTTATTACTAAAATTAAGCGACGGGCAAGTGCTGCTCGAGAGGTTGACTTTAATCCTTTATACGGAATGATATCAATCCTGGTACACTGGCATGGGCATCGATCAATGATGGATTAATTAAGTAAACAACTTGACCACAAAGTGGTGCCCAAATTTTAATTGGCAAAAACCCCTATCTCATTAGTGACCAACACGAAGATGTCGACTTTATGCCAAAACTCTCAATCACTTGTTCGAAATTGAGGAAAATAATTAAATTTTCAAACATGGAAATAAATTGGGGGAATTTTAATGAACAATGAGTGATGAATACACATTTTATCCAACTGTATATAATTAAAATTTATATGTAAAAAGGATAAAACAAATGAAATTAAATTGAGAGAATAGATAAGAGGACATCATTAAATGATTGATCATTCTAAAGCGGGGAAGTCAAGTATAAAACACATAACACTAACTGATTTAATTTAAATATAAAATAAAGTGAAGTAAAATAAAATATCTATATATGTAAAATTTGATGATTATTGAAAACAGAAACATATTAAATGTATGAAATTCTTTGATATGTTAACATTACAGAGTATGTAAATTATATTTCAAAGAAAGAAGAAATAAAGAACACTACAGAAGACATCACTAAGTTTTTTAATAAATATTTTCAGGATTTGAGTTGAAAAGAAATTTTCAGCATCTGCTTTAAATGGTACTCAATTACCATAAGATTTTTTTTAGAAAGATTCATGCAATCTACTTTTTACTATTGTTTGTGGAGACCAACAGACCAATCTCTCTAGAGTAAGCAATTGAATAAAAATTTATTTGAATTTCTCTTTATTGTTATTTTTGCATAGTAGACAGAAAATTCCATTCTTTTTCAGATGAAATTATACTAATTTAAACAACTCAATTAAATTGTAACGTTGGGACAAAAACGCATTTCTGATTCAGGATCGTATGACTTGGGAATATTAATGTCGATAAATAAACACACCATAGAGAATGATAACTATAATTTCATTAATTTACATATTTTACATACCAGCTGAATTATAATCTAGTTTATACATCAAATCACAAATTTTGCTTGCCATAGAATATAAATTTCTGTGAATGAATTTCATGTTGTTTTTTCTAAGTGGTTTTTATTGAATGCCTGCATATGAAATATTTTCCGTGATTTGAATTTGGAATAAAATTCGTAAATTATCTGTAATTGTGTTTTTCTCAACATAACTCACAAATGAATATCTGAACGGGGAACCATTTCCATTATTATAATAGAAGTACACTTTACTTGATTAATTCTCAACTTTAGAAAGAAGTGCATTAAGCGGATTAATCCCGAAACACATTCAAAGCCATCAACAGCACTAATTATTCGGTTATGAGAAAATTCTTCTTGTGTGCCATTGGAAGAAAAATTTTCTTCATGTTCGATTTAAAGCACTAAAAAGAAAAAAAAATGGGATTAGCAGCAGTAATTCTGACATCTTATAAAACAGAAGAGAAAAGTCCTAAATCACTTGACAACAAGATTGACAAACATATGTACGTATTTCCTACTATAGGTATATCTACCTCATCGTAGCAAATACTGAATATTTAGATACGAAAGGATTTTATTTATACCATCTGAGTTCCTTTTTACCAATTTGTAAATTGAACATTGTAGAGCAACAGAGTAGGTTGAAGTAAATTTCTCAATTTCTGTTTTTTCTGAGTCTTAACCTGTACGTCAAAAACTCTAGGATGCATTTTCAAACATTTGACGCTCCATATTACTTTTATATATCATGCAACGCATTTCCACTCTCTTTGTGATGTTGAACAAATTAACAGTAACCTTATATATTTATATAGGTTATGTGAATTCAGAAGAGAGAACTATGAAACCAGGTCAAACGTAATTTTCATATCATATATTTAACTAAAGAAACGTGGGATTTTTCACTGGAAACTTTTGGTATGAAGAATATCTACTCGGTTTTCAAATTCAGCATTGCTCTTAGTGGTGTTTGAAATTAATTTTCGTAATTGCTCGATAATTTAATGTTTTGGAATGTGATTATACACTGTGGTAACATTTGTCATGCGATCCTGACGAAGTGGTCACGTAGAGAATTTATGACCCTTGGGGTTTATATGCCGCTTCTAATCTTTGGACAGCTCCACGTGGATTTATCTCGCAAATTTGACATAACAGCGCACATAATGGGAAAAGGGACACAATCAATAAGGGATTGGATGGTGGTAACTTTTATGACTCTTCCCATAATTGCTCCGCAGAGAAAGAGGAAAATATTGTAATATGTATGCAATTGCTTTTTAATAAATTTGCTACAGTATGTATATAAGGATATATATATATATATGAACTGAAAAAAATTCAAATAATATCATTGAAGTAGTAATAGAAATATGTTTATATATATATTTGTGTGAAGTCGAGCACTATGCCGATTCTGTTGCCATTTGCTTCTGTATTTTTGTCCTCAGAGTGTTTAATGTTTTCCAAAAAGGCCTCAACCATAGCACCAGCTCAATTAGCAGAAAGACCGCCAGATTGAGTGAAATTTAACACGGTCACGGGATATTGAGAGGAAACAGTGTACTATACATGCCCGCCTCTTCCGGCAGCGCACTTCATTCTCCGCCCCACATTTCCGAAAATTGTGGCTTCAGTGGCAAAGACGGATAATTACAGCGTATTTTCTCTACAAGTGTAGTAATAAGTTGATTTGCATTTTGATGTAGAACTGCACCACCGAGTTGTTTCGGGGTTAAATATACTTTGGGGTGGATTGTCGGTGAGAAGACCTAGGACAAAAAAAAATGAAACACAGAACAGTGTTTGTGTGCTGAATACTAAACATTCATTGCAAATAAGAATCGTAGAAATTTTAGCAAAGAGTACAATTTCAATTTAACATATAAAATGGATTAAAATTTTTGAATTCAGACAGAAATATTATGTCACAATTCAGAGGCTCTGTATGTTAATTAAATATTTCCTTCAGCGATATATATCTTCATTTGGAGCAAATACATATATTGTGGATATTGTGGAATTGTAAAAGTTTTCCAAAGGGGGTTTGAGTGTTAAATATGTTTGCACATCTGGGTAGGCATAACGTTTCTGAAAGTAACGAAGAAGGTGTGCAAAGGTAGATGAAAAGTTTTCGGATACACTCGTGTTTGAAACAAAGTGTAATGTTAAATAACCATATGGATTTTAGTAAAATTCCGAGTACTTTTTGAACGACTCTGTATGACTTATCGTGATATTGACGGTGACGAAGGAAAATTCCATAAATTTTGTTTATAAATTTTCCAGTGGAATGGAGGCTGTATGTTGAGAAAGTTTCTTCTGCCTTTAGCGCAAAACTCTGAAATGTACTCGGGAGAGATTGGATAGCAACTGCAGCAAGGTCCGAAAATCTTAAGGGGGCGAGACTTGAGTCTAGCGGGATTATTTAGATCGCAGAGCAAGTGGAAGGCAAGTTTTCATCTTCCACTCACCTTTGGGGATAAAAGTTGGATGAGAAGTTTAGGCGGAATTCAATTTGGTTATTAACGTTTTCTACAAATTTAGGATATATTCAACTTCATGTGCTCTACTTTGAAAAGTGGCTTGGGCTACATAACTTTGACATTCAACGCAAAATTTACCAATAGCGACTGTTGATTGTCACTTGTAATATCGTGAGGAGAATGAAACATATGGACTTGGGAAAATACTGAATTTATGTATTTTCTGATGATTTTGATCAATTGTTAACTTCAGAATTGTCATATGATAAGTACGAGTCATGCTGCAAGAGCTAAATCTCAAATGCTAAAACTCAATAGTGAGGTAACTCTATAATTCTGACAAAATGATCTCAGTAAATTCATTAGGTTTTCTAAATCTTGGGGATCATGAAGGTAATCTTGCCTACATGATTGAAATACTCTATAAAAGACCTGAAAGGAAGGAAAGATGTAAGAATTTCTTTATTACGTTTCAACATATGTGTGTCTCATCGTTCTACCGTCTCCTGTCTTAGTCAACTTGAACAAGTACCAATATCAACTTGTCCGTTTATTTGGGATTGAAAAGAAGGGAAAAGTAATATGTTGGCACATGAGTATATGGTAAAAGTTATATCAGTCTCTTGTTGGACTTCTCTCATTGATAAAATGTCGATAGTATACTTCTTGAATTGAATGGAAACGAAGACATGAATTCGCTGTAGACATCCTGAGAAATTGGATTCTGTAGCTGATTTATTGAAAGTCTTCGCGTGTATGCTGCATAGTTTTCTGATTGGGATAGAAGGCTCAATTTATATCCATCCTCATAGTTCTCAAGAGAATTGACATATAATGTAGATATTTATATGTGGGTATAAGCGCATTATTTGCGTAAAAGCATTCATGAGAAAAACAAAAGTTGATGAGGAATTCTAAAATGCTCATAGAGATTAAAATATTATTTCGATACAATCCTTGTATTAAAAAAAATTCAAAGTCCACAATATCTCTGTGCAAATGTCAGTTTCCTGTGCCTCCTGGCAACGGGGAAAAAAATTTCACTCGGAAACCATAAGCATAATTATTTACAAAGCTGTCAGTATGTATTAAGTCATTTACAATGCACAACAATCTTGCTTTTCAGTAAAAATTGTTTGTAGTGAACTGCTGTACACAGATGGTTTCCATTTAGTCTTTAATTTCGTGATGTAAGAGGTGCAAATCTTACGAAACTATTCTCGTCGGTCCAAACACTCGTTCCGGTCGAGATTCGTTGGACTGTCCAAGGACTCTACTCATTCAGAACGTGAAGCTATTGAGCGCAAGACTCTGGCACACTTCCCGGATAGAATAGCTCGTATCATCACTCTCCACTGCTAGGTTTTAAATGTTTCCTGATATTTTTTGTTAACAAAGCAATAAAGTATATTGAACTCGCAAATGGATGGAAAAGGTTTTCTTCTTGTGAAATAATAGAACACCTGCCGTAACCGGCAAAATGTCATTGGGTCTTTCTTCATCTTGTGTCTGACCATAAACATGAGAGAACCGCATATTTTCCGACAATTTCGATTTTATAGTTTAGCTTTGGTTGTCTCCAAAGTTTCAGCATGCTACCCTATCGTTTACATCTCTGGAATATTGCATGCAAATTAGGATAATACTGGATAAATTCTTTATACGTTTTACCATCTTCTTTCACGAGAGTACGTCGCATTTTATTGTCAAATATCTTTCAGAGGCAAATGAAATATCTCTGCTCCTTTATTCCCCTCATTCAATGCGAATGATCACATGAGCTTTCTCAGGTTTTCATTATGTCACTCTCTTGGTGCTTGACGAAATGATATTGCTCGGAAGATTTTTCGTTTCGGCAGTTTAAGTTTATTTGCTCTTTTTCATTATAATATGAAATGTCTTAGTGGAGGTAAAATGTAAATAAAAGGGAAAGTATTTTACGAAAAGGATTTCACTGGAGAAATTTTTATCGATGTGATTCTTTACTGAATGTGATGTTCAATTTGCAGAAAAATATTGGTCCTCTCTGTCGTCCTTGGCTGCATTCTCAAGAGAATAAACATCAAGCAGTGAACCTGGGAATGATTCTAATCAAATATTTGTGA